TGTCCATCAGCCCCCTGGGCAAGGCCTCTTCAACATCCCTGAGCCTTTTACTGTCACACCATCCAGATACGAACTCCATCCTGGAGGGTGAGATACAAAGACGTTGATGCCCTACTACGCAAGTTTGGTTGGGATCATCTCTATAAAAGCAGAATACAAAGCTATCTTTGTATGCCAGGTAGTTGCCAAATTACGACTTGTGTTCTAACCGAAATGCTCAACCCCCAGCCCCACGCAGATGCAACGCACATCGAAGTCTAATCTCTTAAGCTTGACGAATTACCATAAATTGGCGTAATCTCATCCCAACAAAGGTGGAACAGGGACCAAGATCCCCTGGGAGAGGCATGGCACTCACCAAAGGCTGAGAGTCCTGTTTACCACATTTAAAGCTTTAGAGCTCATTACATAGGTATTGGAAAAGCTTGATAACCCACCTCCCCTCACAAACCACAGGCAACAAATGGAGACAGTAACCTCATAGCTCATCAGAGTGCCTCTCTCTTCATATGAGTAGTTGATAGGGGAATCACGCTCACAAGAAGGATTTAGTTCCAGGGAGTCTAAGCAAGGGTTCCAATCTCACTAATCTCTAGTAAAAGTTGGTGAAGACAACAGGGCAAAGATAACCCAACAGGCACAGACTCCTCTAAGACAGCACAGGTCCACAGCACAGTTCCCCAGGTCTGCCAAGGATCATCCCTCCGTAATTCCAGATTTTAGCTCATAATCCAATACCTGCACCTCCGATCCTCAATAGAGCACCCAGATGAGAGAGAACTGGCGAAAGTTTACAGTAAACATGAAGGAAAAGAGAGAAAAATCACCTCCAGCTTTTCGCAACGGGTTTGCCGCCAGAACACAGGTGCCGTGAAAATCACCCATAAAAGCTAAAATGGGGAAGGAAAAGACCCACGTCAACATCGTCATCATCAGACACGTAGATTCGGGCAAGTCCACCACTACTGGGCATCTTATCTACAAATGTGGTGGGATCGACAAAAGAACCATCGAAAAATTTGAGGAGGCCGCTGAAATGGGAAAGGGCTCCTTCAAGTATGCGTGGGTCTTGGATAAACTGAAAGCTGAGCATGAGCGTGGTGTCACCATTGATATCTCCCTGTGGAGATTTGAGACCAGCAAATATTATGTGACTGTTATTGACGCCCCAGGACACAGAGACTTTATCAAAAACATGATTACAGGCACATCTCAGGCTGACTGTGCTGTCCTGATTGTTGCTGCTGGTGTTGGTGAATTTGAAGCTGGTATCTCAAAGAATGGGCAGACCCGTGAGCATGCCCTTCTGGCTTACACACTAGGTGTGAAACAACTAATTGTTGGTGTTAACAAAATGGATTCCACTGAGCCTCCCTACAGCCAGAAGAGATATGAGGAAATTGTTAAAGAAGTCAGCACTTACATTAAGAAAATTGGCTACAACCCTGACACACAGATTTGGCCATTTTGGCTGGATGGTGACAACATTTTGAGCCAGTGCTAACATGCTTGGTTCAAGGAGAAAGTCACCCGAAAGATGGCAATGCCAGTGGAACCACACTGCTTGAAGCTCTGGGATTGCATCCTGCCACCAACTCGTCCAACTGACTAGCCCTTGCGTCTGCATCTCAGGATGTCTACAAATTGTGTATTGCACTGTTTCCTGTCCTGATGGGAGCTGGTGTTCTCTAAACCGCGCATGGGTGTCACCTTTGCTCCAGTCAATGTTACACTGAAGTAAAGTCCATTGATACACCATGAAGCTTTGAGTGAGCTCTTCCAGGGACAACGTGGTTCAACGTCAAGAACGTGTCTGTGCAAAGATGTTCGTCGTGGCAACGTTGCTGGTGACAGCAAAAATGACCCACCAATGGAAGCAGCAGGCTCACTGCTCAGGTGATTTACCTGAACATGCCAGGCCAAATTAGTGCTGGCTATTGCTCCTGTACTGACTGTCACACTGCTCACATGCCTGCAAGTTTGCTGGTTTGAGCTGGAAGGAAAAAGGATTGATCGCCGCTCTTGAAATGAAGCTGGAGGATGATCCTAAATTCTTGAAGTCTGGTGATGCTGCCATCGTCGTATGCTCCTGGAAAGCCCATGTGGTCGAGAGCTCTCAGACTATCTCCTCTGGGTCATTTTGGTGTCGTGATATGAGACGACAGTATGTATGGGTGTCATCAAAGCAGTGAAAAGAAGCTGCTAGAGCTGCAAGGTTACCAAATCTTCCAGAAAGCTCAGAAGGTAAATGAATTATTTACAAATACCTGCACCCACTCTTAATCAGTGGTGGCAAGATGGTCTCAGAACTGTTTGTTTTCAATGGCCATTTAAAGTTTAATAGTAAAAGACTGTTTAAAACAATGCATCGTAAAACCTTCAGAAGGAAAGGAGAATGTTTGTGGACCACTTTTGTTTCTTTTGTGTGGCAGTTTTAAGTTATTAGTTTTTAAAATCAGCAGACTTTTTAATGGAAAACAACTTGACCAAAATCTGACACAGAATTTTGAGACCCATTAAAACAAATTTAAATGAGAGAAAAAAAAAAATCACCTCCAAAGCAAATGTCATCATCTGAACAACGTCACATGAATGGAGTAAACTGACAGAGGAAGATTCCAAATAGGATTGTCAAAACTAAATGAAAGTTAAGAGAAAATAGATCACAAATAGAAACACAAAACAAGTACAGGAAGTGGAATGAAGATTCTCAAGAATTGAAATATCAAGAAAAACAAAACAGAATCTGCGATGAAGGAAACAATCAAGGATCTCTATTTCAGGGTGGAAGCCTAAAACAGGATGACATGAGAGGAAAAATCTCAGAACTTGAAGATTATGCTTTATGGCTCTAACAAATCAGAGGAAGAGAAAGGGAACACAGAACAACGAGACAAGACCAAAGTTTTACAGAAATGTGGGTTAGTTAAAAAAGCCGAATATCAGATTGATTTGGGATTCTGGAAGGGGAACAGGAACATTCACAAGCTAGAACTTATTTCACAATACTGGAGGAAAATATGCAGGGGCCTGGCAGAAATCTTGATATCCAATACAAGAAGCACACAGAACTCCTGGGAACTCAATGTGAAAGGCATCACTCGCCAGTGGTTTTTAGGCTGACCAAAGTAAATGTGAAAGAAAACATTCCATCAGCAAGACAAAGAGCAACATGACTATAAAGGTAAGGACTATCAGACTAACAGCAGACCCTTCATCTGAAACCTACAAGCCAGGAGGGAATCGGTGCCTATCCTTTAATCTTCTAAAACAGAACAAAGCCAACCTAGAATTCTTTATCCAGCATTAAGTTTCATCTATGAAATAAAGTTCTTCTCAGACAACAATCACGAGGAATTTGCAAAGACCAGACCATACCTAAAGAGTTCTCAGACCTCATTTCTACCAACAGGCAGTAGACACTCCTCAAAGTAAAATAGTCAAAGAATTAAAGTTTAGATCTCAAATAAATGATGGCTCAGTTGTAAAAACAAGCAACAAGTCTCCAGCCCAACAATGATGAATGATATTCTTCCTCCATTTCATCCTTCAATAAATTAAATGCTTAAAACTGTCCTCTGATAACATAGACTGGCAGGGTGGATAAAAATTCACAAACCTAACATCTGCTGTCTACAGGAACACATCTAATCCCAAATGCCTCTGGGCTGAAGGTCAAGGACTATGGGAAAAACTTATCGTCCTATCAAAACAGATAAGAAAGCGGAGTAGCTATGCTATTTGCAGATAATATAAGCTTTAAATAGCAAAAGTAAAAAAGGATAAAGATGGCCATTTATAATGGTGACAAGGGAAGACCCAACAAGAACGTTTAACAATTCTTAATATCGATGCACCCATACAGGAAGCACCCAATTACTTAAAGCAAAACTTGTATATCTTAAACACTTGGTTCACAATACTGCCGTAGTAAGCAGTGGGACTTCACCTCCTTGACATGATCGTGGATGATCCTCCAACAGAAAATAAGCAAAGAATAATGGACCCTGAGCAAGCCTTTGATTCAAAAGTCTGACGGACCCGTTTATAGGAGCATTTATCCAATAACTGATTTACATTGCTTCTCAGCAGCGATGATCTATTCCAAAAATTGATAATCCCTTAGCCGCACATCAGATCCAAATTCAAGAAGAATAGAAATTACACTTATACTATACCTTTTCACCTATACTATATCTTTTTGACCATAACGTTATCTAATTCATTCAATTCACTATAGAACCACTAACCCCTAAACAATCATGGAAAAGCTAAACCATTATTATGAAAATGTTGGTGGTAAGAAAAAACTTCAGAGGGAATAAAGATTTCTTAACCAAAATGATAAAGGTGAATACTTCTTACCAAATCTCTGTGGGATACAAGCAAAAGTTACACTGAGAGGAAACTATAGATTAAACTCATATCCAAAAACACAGAAAGCTTAGGATACTGCAACCGTAATGAATAAGCTCAAGGATTGATAAAAACAAGAGCAACAACTTGTCAATCAATAGAAGAAAAACATACAAGATCAACGCAGACTGAATGAAATGGAGACCAGAGAACTATATCACAGATCAACAAAACACAAAAACTGGTTCTGTCGAAAGATAAACAAAATTGAAGCCCTCTGCTCAGACTTGCAAGGACCCAAAGGAAAGGACTCTAAATAACTTCATAAGAAATGAAAAGAGATCAAACAGATCATACAGAATACAAAAACTTTATTTGACTATTATAAAAAATATATTGCCAAAATACGAACGAAATGAAATGGACAAATTACTTGGTCATATCAACCTCCTAAGTTCACCCCAGGAGGCAACAGATTCCCTGACAGGCCAATCTCAAGCTCAGGAATAGTGAAAAGCAGTAATTAAAAAACCTCCCAAACGTAAACTCCCGGCCAGATGGCTACACTTCAGACTTCTAGAAACATCCACAAAGATGAACTCTACCTGTACATATCCAGAAATAATTCCACACCATGAGAAGGATGGGTATCCTTCCTAACTCATTCTAGGAAGCCCAAGTATCACCTTGATCACAACCCAGGAAAAGAACAACTGTTTAGGAACGAAGGCTTGTGGGGTTCTAACCAAAATACCTGAGCTGTCAGAAGGTGCTTTATAGCCGTTTTGAGGAAAGTCGCAAGATCCCAAGGCTTGGCGCAGAGGCTGTTTGTGATAATAAAACTCTAGGCTTGGAGCCAGAGGCTATTGTGATTGATAAACCCTAAGATGTTTTAACTAATTGACCCTAAACTTGTTTTGACCGATCAACCCTAACCCCCACTGCCCCTCCCTATTCTTTGTTTCTGTATGCTTATAAAACCAACAAAACTAGTAAAGCAGACCTTGACAACCCTTTGCTTGGTCTCGTTCCTTTCTCTGGCCCGTCTCTTTCAGCACGGTCCCTTTGACCCCGCGAGTAACAAAAGGTCCCACGGGTCGGGACACACAACAAGAAAAGAAAATTGCAGACCAATATCCCTCATGAATACAGATGCAAAAATCCTAAATAAAATTTTAGTGAATAGAATTCATCAGCACATCAAAAAAATAATTCACTATGACCAGGTGGGCATTATTGCAGAGAGTCAAGGATGGTTCAACATACGCAAGTCTATAAATGCATTCACTTCATAAATAAAATCAGAACAAAAGACCATATGATTCTGTCAATAGGATGCAGAAAAAGCATTTGACTAAGTCCAACACACCTTTATGATAAAAACTCTTAACAAAATAGGCATATATAAAGCCGGGCGCGGTGGCTCACGCCTGTAATCCTAGCACTCTGGGAGCTGAGGCGCGGATTGCTCGAGGTTGGAGTTCGAAACCATCCTGAGCGAGACCCGTCTTACTAAAATAGAAGAAATTAATTGACCAACTAAAATATATATACAAAAAAAAAAATTAGCCGGCATGGTGGTGCATGCCTGTAGTCCAGCTACTTGGAGGCTGAGGCAGGATGGATAGCTGACCAGGAGTTTGAGGTTGCTGTGAGCTAGGCTAACGCCACGGCACTCTCTAGCCGGGCAACAAAAGTGAGACTCTGTCTCAAAAAAAAAAAAAACAAAAAATAGGCATATATGGCTCATACCTTAAATTTATCCAATCCATCTATGACAAACCCACTGCTAATATCATTCAAAACAGGGAAAAATTTAAATCTTTCCCCCTTCGATCCGGAACTAGACAAGGGTGCCCACTATCTCCTCTCCTATTCAACATAGTGCTTGAACTCCTAGCAATCAGGCAGGAGAGGGGTATTAAGGGCATTCAAGTGGGGGCAGATGAAATCAAATTCTCGCTCTTCACCAATGATATGATATTATACCTAGAAAACCCCATGTACTCTTCCAAGAGACTCCTAGACTTGATAACTGAATTTGATAAAGTTTCAGGTTATAAAATCAATATACACAAATCAGAAGCATTCATATATGCCAAGAACCATCAAGCAAAACTCAAATCAAAAACGCAATACCTTTACTAT